CTGGGAGTTGGAGTCCACAAGTCTTAAAGTTGCCAAGGTTGGAGACCCCTGTTTTGGAGGATGCTTTCAGTACACAAACATGGCTATACGGAAGAAGGTGACAAAAAGCTTACCTGTGGTTGCCATTTTGTTTTAGGTGAGGTCTTTGTGTTGGATGATGGAGGAGAAGTGGATTTGGATCTGGGTAACTATGAACGGTTTCTTGATATCCGACTCACAAAGGACAATAATCTGACCACTGGAAAAATATACCAATATGTCATCAACAAGGAAAGGAAGGGAGACTACTTAGGTAAAACTGTGCAAGGTAAAGTATTAAACATGGATTCATTTTCCTTTGACTGCTGCCTTTGGCTGGAGACTTTGTTTAATTTCAACCATGAAGATCATGGCTACTAGTTTATGTTCTGTAGCTACTGTCTCTCCTGGTTGTTTTTATAACCTGGAGATGAGAAATTTGGGCACTTTGAGACACAATTGAAAACATTATTTAAAAAAAACATTTTTTCCAGTACTATAAATAAATAAAGAAGAGAGTAATTGTTAGAGCAATTCAAGGATGTTCAATTCAAGGATTTTTTTTAGGTTAAAAAAAAATTAAGATATCAGCCATGGTGAAACAAAGTTTCACAGTGTTCAATGCTTCATAATTTTTTATGTGTGTCATGTACATGGAGCTTCGATTGCATTGTTCAAGTCGCCATCTTGACTTTTTTGACCTTACTCTGCTGGCATCCCTGGAACACCTAATACTATTCTAGTTGTATTTGCATGTTGCTGTAAGCCAGAACACTGGAGAGTTTGGGATTTTCACTCAGGAACATGTTCACAAGAATGCAGTCACGCTAGCCAACAGGAATGATAAGGTATCCAGTAACCTTATTGGGTAAAATAGAATAGCCAAATTGGTTAGAGTTGGATAGCATCCAGATTGAATTCATAAAATCAAACCACCAGAAATTCACCAAGAAATGAATGTTCAGTGTTAATGAGATGATTCTGACTGAAACCAAGCATGTAGCCAGAAATTATTGAAACATTATCTTTTTTAAAAATGTTTTTACAGTTGTGCCCCACATTACTGATGCCATCCAGGAGTGGGTGATGAGACAGGCACGGATCCCAGTAGATGAAGATGGCATGGAGCCCCAAGTCTGTGTGATAGAGGTTGGTGTCCATGGCCTTCTATGTCTCCTGCCAGGATTTCACCTGTAAGATATTACTACCTGGGTGTTTTTAAAGATGCTTTACGGTTATTGCCATTACAATACTTTATGGTCATTAATCAGCACAAGAAAATTAATATGCAAATATTCAAAATATCCAAAGGTAAATTGATAATGTCAGGATGGCTGAGGGCAATATGCTGACTCTGTAAACCACTTAGAGAGGGCTGTAAACCACTATGAAGTGGTACATAAGTCCAAGTGCTGCTGTTACAGTTAAGAAAAGTACACGAAGGGATTTGGCTGAAATATTGCTAAACTTGAATATGGTAAAAAGGAGATTGGGGGGGGGGGGATTTGTGCTTTTAAGAAAAGAGCATTGCATTTAATTTTAGATGTCTGTATTTTAGCTCGGAGGAACGGTGGGAGATATTGAAAGCATGCCTTTCATTGAAGCATTCCGCCAATTTCAATTCAAAGTCAAGCGCGAGAACTTCTGTAATATTCACGTCAGTCTAGTTCCCCAGGTAAGATTCCGTAAGGCAGCTCCTTGTAGTGTTGGCCCTAGAGAACCAAGGTGGGTCTTTTTCTAAGGCTCTGGGGTTAGGACATCCAAAGGGTTGGGAATTGTTTTTCATCTTGTTTGTTCTGTTTTTAACCATATGAAGCTGTTTGTGGAATTGGGTGGCCTAGAAACTAGACAAATAAACAAATGAATAAACAGATTGCAGGAATGACCTGAGGGTTTTCAAAGAGATTGGAAAATGAATCTGATCTTAATTTGACACATTGTCTTCTTGTTTATATTTCTTGGCCTGGGTCTATTAGCCAAGTTCTACAGGGGAGCAGAAGACAAAACCTACTCAGAATAGTGTTCGTGAACTTCGGGGCCTGGGTCTATCACCAGATCTAGTAAGTTTTGCTATAATGTATGTTAAAATTACTGGCTGGATTTCAAACTGCTGTCAGGCTGAGGATGGGAAGATGTTATTCAGCTATTTGAGAAATATAAATTGCTATGAAAGAGATAATAATCTGTTCACAGCTGAGAAAGTATAATGTGGTTAATTGTTCTTCAGTGAGCTAACCAAATTCTGTTTGAAGGCTAGATTTAATCCTTGGACAAATCTTTTGAAGGTTTCACTATTTTCTTTACTAGATTGTGTGTAGATGTTCCACGCCCCTGGATACCTCAGTGAAAGAGAAAATTTCCATGTTTTGTCATGTAGAACCAGAACAGGTAAAGTTGCTTCATGTTAGCATAGTAACTTTGGACATATATATGTGTTTTCTGCAGACTTTTGATTTCATGTAATAGTTTCTGCATGCACAGAACAGATCAAACTCCTATGTAACATTAATTATCTAGAAAAAAAAAAAGAAATGCACACGGTGGATTCTCAGTCATTTATCACCATATCACGGTGGTGACGAATTGTAAAACAGGTGTTGAAGCATTGCCTGTAGGCTGCTGGTTGCCTATCTTCCCTTTTCATCAAAGCTCGGGAGACCCACATCTGGGTCAAATCAGAGAATTCGGTGTAGCAGATTTTATGTATGTAAGCCCCCTTTTTTCCAGTTAGCTGTGACTTGCAATGCACCTTATTTTGATCTTCTGTTTGCCAGAGCAGCAGTTAATTCTGTGCATCATTATGTGTATTTGCGGATATGGCTTGAAGATCTTAGTAATATTTGCTTAACCAAATAATTTGCTTTGCTTCAACAGGTAATCTGTGTCCATGATGTCTCTTCCATCTATCGGGTTCCTCTGTTGCTAGAGGAGCAAGGAGTGGTGGATTATTTTCGACACAGGCTCAACCTTCCCATTGAAAAGCAGCCCCAGAGAATGTTGATGAAATGGAAGGAGATGGCAGACAGGTGAGAGCTTCTTTGGGCAAGCAGTTATTCTGGTTACTTTTAAGCAATACAATAAAATAAACCTTTAAACCTAACACAACAAAGCACCATGGCTGTGCAGTTCGATATGCTAAAAAAAAGCATATTATTTGCTTGCAGTGATGGCCTGGTTACCCCAACCAGCTAAGACATCCACTGGACTCTCACAACAATGAACCATACAGCACCCAAACTTAGATTGCCGTAGAGTAGACCGCAACACTTCAGACCACAGATGAAAAGGAATCCCCTATTATAATGGTGCAGCCATGGTGGTGCAGTGGTTAGAATGCAGTATTGCAGGCTGACTCTGCTCACTGCCAGAAGTTCAATGCCTTCAATCCTGAGTGGCTCAAGGTTGACTCAGCCTTCCATCCTTCTGAGGTCGATAAAATGAGGACCCAGATTGTTGGGGGAATAAGCTGGCTCTATAAACCGCTTAGAGAGGGCTGTAAAGCACTGAAGTGGTATATAAATGCTATTGCTGTTTTTTAAAAGGATCTTTTGGAGAGAGATGCTGGACTAGTACTGTGTTTTTGTTAGGAATATGAGTCACCTAACAGGTATTTGGGTTAGAAATATATAAACCAGGATAGACATTTTAATACTGTCTCTTTAAGAGCATGCTAAAAACTGGAATTGGGTATGGTTACTCAAACGGCCATAAGATGGAGCCAGAAACCTGGGTTGTTTTAGTCTTAGTCTTAGTCTCAGAAGAGAGTGTGTCTGAGTGAGTCTGTTTCCTTCTGTTGGAAAGTATTGCCGTTCCATTTTTCCTAATTGACTGATATTTCTGGATTTAATGTAAGTCTGATGCTGAACTGTTTTTTCACACTGGACTTTGATATTTGGATTATCCCTGGATTGAAAAACTGACTGATTTACCTGTGAATGACTTTTGGACTGCTTATCTTGAACTTTGCTTAAACTGTCTGGAAGTAAAAACCTACATTTACTGTACAGTGTATCTGTGTGCTGTATGTGTATTATTCAAACACTACTCTCAAATACGTCTCCCTGTATGCGCTCATTCTCCTAACGGGGAATTACCTCAACAGTTTTCCCCGAAAATAAGACCCTGTCTTATTTTATTTTTTTGCCACAAAAAAAGGCACCAGGTCTTAATTTTGGGGTGGGATGTTGTCCACAGATTCACTTCATTTGCATATGTCGCCCCCAGCTTCCTTTTCTCTGTCAGAGGCCTTCAGGAACTTCTGTGGCTGGCAAGGCTTTCCTGAAGATTTTTGCAGCTAATAACAGAGCTCTGGATTGATCCAAGCTCTGTTATTGGCTGCAGAGGCTTCAGGAAAACCTCGCCAGCTGCAGAAGAAATGGCTGTCAAGGCAGGTGTCAGAGTGTATGAGGCCTGGCTGCAATGGTCCAAAGGTAAGTAGTAGGGCAGCTCCAACCCCTATCCCCACCCTAGCTTAATTTTTACCCGTGCACCCTGGAGTGGGTGGGGTCTTCATTAGGGCTTATTTTGGAGGTAGGGCTTATATTGGGTGCACATATAAAAATCAAGCCAGGACTTAAATTTCAGGAGAGGTCGTATTTTCGGGGAAACGGGATATCTCCTGACTTGTAGACCCAATTTGTTTAGCTTGGTTCTGGCTAAGCTAAGTTTTAGTAGGCAGAACGTCTTTAATGAAGCCACCTCTGCATCCAAGTGCAGAGTGTACCTTTTTAGATGTTACAGTCTACTTGCTTTGGACAGAGAGATGGGGCGGCATATAAATTTAACAATAAATTTAGCAATGTTAATAATTTTCATTTTGTCCAATTTATTGAATGCGTGGGCTGGGCTTAAGTGGATTTTGATGGGGTGGTAATGGTGATAGTGCTTTGAGTTGGAATTGAGTCCTGGCAGCTACGTGGACACGTTTTTGTCATTTTTTAGGTAGCAGTTTCAGAAAGGGTTGCTCTGGCCTTCCTAGGATTGCGAGTCAGTCACCCAGCTATTTTTTTTGCCTATCCATGTTTCCCTGTTTCTGGTCCAGCATATTAACCACTAAACTGTCTTGTAAGATGATAATGTTAATATTGGCTTTCTCATTCCATACTTTTGATATTCACTTTTTAAAGACGTGGTTTTGGTTTTTTACACAGATATGATCGCTTATTGGAAACCTGTTCTATTGCCCTGGTTGGCAAATATACAAAGTTTTCAGATTCATATGCCTCTGTCATTAAAGCCTTGGAACATTCTGCTCTAGCAATCAATCACAAACTCGAGATAAAGGTATGCTTTTTCCACTGACTACCAAAAAAACCCAAACTTTCTTGCTTGGTTTAGTTTGAAACTTAAAGTCTATGGGTATCTGCTCTAAGTTCATAACTTCTATTGCATCTAAAATGCTACTTCTGGCAAAAATTCTATGTTTACCAACAACAACAAAAACCAGCCTGTCTCATATATTCCAGCAATGTTAGAAATTATGGAGCTTATTAATGTGATAACAACGATGCAAGCAATATGTAGGAAAATCTTTGTGATGTTGATATTGTGTCAATCCCTCATTTGGCTACTACTTTTCCATAGCTATAATAAACACAATGGGGAAAATGAATCAAAAGACACACTGTACAACAGCATTTCTTAGTGTGATTCAAAGGCTCCTGAGGGTCCTTCATTGAGGGCCGCATCAGGGTTGTGTTTGACCTGGGGGGGGGGGCGTAGCCAGCGTGTGTGTGGCCAGCTCGACATCACTCATGTCAGGGGTGCCTGTGGTGGCCTGAGTGCTCGTGGCCCTCTTGAGCTCCCTTTTCACTGGCAAAGGGTGGCAGGAGGGCGTTGCAGCCAAAAACTTAGCTCGGGAGGACTGTGCGTGGCCCTCCCAAGCTGGCCAGCTCCGACTCCTGGGCCTTGAGTTTGACCCTCTTGGATGCGCGAAGAACTATTTTCCAGATAGTGGAGATGTACGTAGAAATGTTAGACATATCAGTCTTAGTTTTTTATTTGTTAAAATAGCTTTTTCCTGAAAATACTTACGTTAATATGTTTAATATTATTTTTACATGATTCAACAAATAAATATTCTATGAATGTGTTAATTTTAATACAGTAGCAATCGACGTAACCCACACAAACAAATGCTCTTTTGGGGTCCTTCGTGATGTTTAAAAGTGAGAAGTGCTCCTGAGAGCGAAAAGTTAGAGATTGACATTGGGAATTTCTTCTGTTCCTCAAAAAAGGACTGAACCCTCTCTAAGAATGTTGATTGCTTTGAAGGCATCGTGATGATGTGATCATTTAAATGATCTTTTTTTAAAAAAAAAATCATCAGCTTCCTACAGCAATGTTTTTCATCGATTATTGAACTATTTTAAGATGAAAAACCTCCAAGGTCTATAACTTGGAACAGAAGTTTTTTTTTAAATCATAAGGATTAGGGATGAAAATCATTTGGTCAATATTTTGTCAGTTAACAGAGTAATGTAAGGCAATGATCAACAAACATTGACATTCAAGGTCTAAAATTAGACGATCTTTCTTTCTTTCCTTCCAGTATATTGATTCTGCTAATTTGGAACCAGTTACATTACAAGAAGAACCAGTTCGATACCACGAAGCCTGGCAGAAGCTTTGCAGTGCTGAGTAAGGCATTTGTCTTCCTTTCTACGATGAGAAAATGTCTCCTCATTTTATTGAAGCTGTTTTTGTACTTCTCCCAGAGATAACTTCATTTTTATTGTTGAGACAGTGTTTAAATACCTTCCTTTTATGAGTTAGGCGCCAGGCCTTGATTTCTGTTTCTGAACAACAGGATGAAGTATATCAGAAACAAGTTTATATTGCGGGCTCTAATTCCAGGTGGTTTGGAATTTTATTTAACATATGGGGTGACATATAGCATAATAGGGTGAGAAAGAACCTTGGGGATCTTCCGGTCCAATTCTCTGCCCAAGGTAGAAATCTTCATTTCATCCAGGACAAATTGTTGTCAGTCTTTTCTTGAAGACTTTCAGTGATGGGGCACCCATAATTTCATGAAGCAGGCTGTTTCACTGCTTCATGGCTCCCTCAGACAGGAATTCCTTCCATATTGCAAGTTTGGTTCTCTCACAATTAAAATCCCACCCATTGCTTCTTGTCCATGCCTTCTTTCTTGTGACCCCCCTTCATGTTTTGGAATGCTGCTATCATAGCTCCCTCCTCTTCTTTAGGCTAAACATTAGCAAGCTCCTTTAACTGTTTTTGTTTTGTTTATAAATGTCATTATAAATAAACGCCATGGAGAAGTTCTCTGTTCACAAATCACATGCTGCAGATTGCCTCTGAGTGATGATCATATGATTCTGCCACAGAATGGACAAATGATATCCCGAGACTCTTGATACGGGTGGTAGGGGCTCTCTAAAGCTCAAATAGCACTTAGGCTTATATACCACTTCACCATGCATTTACAGCCCTCTCTAAGTGGTTTACAGAGTCAGCCTATTGTCCCCAACAATGCGGGTCCTCATTTTACCCACCTCGGAAGGATGGAAGGCTGAGTCAACCTTGAGCCTGGTGAGATTTGATCTGCCAAATTGCAGTCAGCCGGCCGTCAGCAGAAGTAGCTTGCAATACTGCATTCTAACCATTGCGCCACCGTGGTTCTTAGTTTTCCTAGAGGTTTCGAGAGGTTGAACTTTGGACAATCAACATTCAATAGAGGGGTTTAACTATCATCTTTCAAATTTCAGATGCAAATTCCTGCTTGGCTGAAACATCTTCATTCATGGTGATTTCCATGCTTGTTTTCATGAAGCCTCCTTAGTTCAAACTAGGCAGAGTGCATTGTGGTGTGTATTTTACTAGGTGAATGCAATTCATTTTCAGAGGACTAGGATAAAATATACTGCAAAAGTGAATGCTCAGGTTTATCTAATAGACTTCCTCCTTCTTTTGTTTAGTGGAGTCTTGGTTCCAGGTGGTTTTGGTGTTCGAGGCACAGAAGGAAAAATTCAAGCCATTTCTTGGGCAAGAAAGCAGAAGAAACCTTTCCTAGGTGAGAAAATGTGCTTGAATGTTATTTTTTGTATGGAGTAAGATATAGCAGAACTTTAGTTTACAAGGGGTTGGGTCTATTCTTTGAGAGATCTCTGTGTCCAACAGTTTCTGCCTGTCCAGTAGGACCAGTAGAATTGGGTGCCTTCCGGATCCTTTCTGGATGTCATCTCTTGAGAGCTAAGAAGGATGCCTTTTCTGTCACGTGACATGCCTTCTGGAAGAGCATCTCTACAGAGATTCATGTGACTCACCCTTATGATGTTCCCAAAATCTTTAAAGACTTGGCTTTGTTTCCAGGCCTGAGGATAGAGTGGTTGTTGAGTCCATTGAATGTTCTTTGGCAGGTTGATGTTTGTTTCCTCTGCCCATACATGATCTTTTCTCATAGTTCTTTATTACAGCATAAACTGTTGGGTGGCCTCTAAAGTTACTGCAATCAATTAGATAAATAACATTCAACTAATTGCTTTGAACGTGAACCAGAATTGAAATGGTCCTTTCTGTATCAGCTTGCTTGAAATGATAAGTTAAAGAAATATTGTTCAGTATTATCCCAAGAAACTGTATATGATGTCTTTGAAATCATGTGTGTCCAGACTGATGCATAATTGTAAGGCCATAAATTATCCCAAAGGTCCTCCTGTATCTGATCTTCAACTGCTCATGTAGAGTCTAATAAAGAAATAACGGGAATTCTGTTGGGTATATGATAATACCAGTGCATATTTTTTAATACATCTCCTGTCTCTGTTTTCTATAGGAGTCTGTCTGGGAATGCAGTTGGCCGTTGTGGAGTTTGCCCGCAATATACTTGGCTGGCAAGGTAAAAATGTGGGAAAATAAACATTTGGGCTTCTCTTTAAGGATTCTATTCCTTAAAATCGTTTGTAAGACCAGACCTAGAACACTGCATCCAGTTTTGGTCACCAGACAATAAAAAAGATGTTGAGACTCTAGAAAAAGTACAGAGAAGAGCAACCAGGATGATTAGGGGACTGGAGGCTGAAACATATGAAAAACAGTTGCAGGAACTGGGCATGGCTAGTCTAATGAAGAGAAGAACCAGGAGAGACATGATAGCAGTCTTCCAATATCTCAGGGGCTGCCACAGAGAGGAAGGAGTCTAGCTATTTTCTAAAGCACCCGAAGGCCAGACAAGGAATAATGGATGGAAACAGAACAAGGAGAGATTTAACCTGGAAATAAGGAGAAACTTTCTGACAGTGGAAACAATCAACCAACGGAACAGCTTGCCCTCGGAAGTTGTGGGAGCGCCATCACTTGAGACTTTCAAGAAGAGACTGGACTGCCATCTGTCAGAAATGGTGTAGGGTCTCTCCTGCTTGGGCAGGGGGTTGGATTAGATGACCTACAAGGTCCCTTCCAACTCTGATTATCTGTTATCTTTGTGATATAATTGCTGTAAGGTAGCAGTATACTGGGAACATTTAAACCTCAATAAAGCTTTTTATACACTTTAGGTAATTGTGCCTATTTCACTTTACCCAGTTTTTATAAGAGTTTCTAAAGGATTCTAAAGGATTTCTAATTGTTTGCAAATTAAAATATAAATCTCCATGTTTTTATTGCTTTATTTACTAGCCTAAGTGTAGAGGTCTTAATAAGAAAGCACTTATTTACAACATTCAAACTTAAGTAGTGGATTATTAAAATATACAACATGGTATGTTAATGACTTGGGTAGGACTGCATTGACCATGTTATGTGAAGCGTTTGCTCCAAGTCTTGGGTTACTTTGTCATTAATGCAAATTAATGGAAAAGCTGCTTTCTACTGGAAATGTAGATTTTTTTCTTAAGATCTGAGACTTTATGTGATCAAAGCCTATCATCCACAGATGCCAACTCTACAGAATTTGACCCCAAAACTACACACCCAGTGGTAAGTGTGATGATACTTTTTTAATCCATTGAGCTTTCTTTTCATGTATACCAAGAATATTTTTAACCCCCTTCTCACAATTATTTTCAAAGGAAATGTAAAAAATGGCCTAATTAGAATGAATTATAAGAATAATCAGACTTCCCCATAGTGCTACGATTCATTAACTTCTGTTAAAATGTTGTCTGATATTTAAGTTAGTTGTTTCTCAGCCATTTTTTTTTGTAGATATGAAAGCCCATATTTATTTAATTTGGAGCCAGTGACTCTCAATTTGACCAAATAGGATGTGTGTTTTTATATTTACTTGACTTTCTATTGCTTTAGATACCGTAAAAATAAACTTTTGCATGTTTGTATATGTGTACGTGTATATTACATACACATATAATTTTACACATATGAATATACTCTAAAACTCACGTTAGACGTGAAAAATATTGTATTAGCAGTTAGAATGGGGTTTAACCCCTTCTGATGGATAACCAATGCCAGAAACCATTGTTTTGTTTTTAGATACTACTAAACCCATGGAAATGAAACAGCTTACAGATTTTGTTGCATACCTGCATACTTGTTTAACATCATTAGTTGTCTTAACTTCTTCTCCATCACATCATACTCTTCGATTTCTCAGGTAATTGACATGCCGGAACACAATCCAGGTCAAATGGGTGGAACCATGAGGCTGGGCAAGAGAAGAACTATCTTCCAAACCAAGAATTCAGTCATGAGTATGCTTTTCTTAGCCTTCCTTTTGTCCCCCCCCTCCTTCCTTCCTTTTGACTCCTGGTTATATTTTGATTATACAAATGCCTAAGCTGCCTTAAAGTATGGGAAATTATAGCTACCGTGTTTCTCACAAAATAAGGCCAGGCCTTATTTTTTTTTGACCAATGAAAAAACGGCTAGGCCGTCTTTTCGGGGGTGACTTAATTTCCTCCCCCACCTAGAGTGGCCCATACGCACGTACCTCGTCGCGAGGCCGCTTCTATCGGCAGACGAAAGCTCCCTGAAGGCAGAGTCCCCAGCTGCTTCAGGGTGTGGCGTGGCTGCCCATGTCCCCTCACCTTTAGGCAGTCTCTTTTGGGCAATGGAAGCTCCCCAAGTGCAGTGACCAGCCACTTTGATCGGCCGGTAGCGGCCTCGGGGCGAGCGCACACACACTCCCCTCGCCGCGAGGCTGCTTCTATCGGCAGACGAAAGCTCCCTTGAAGGCAGAGTCCCCAGCCGCTTCAGGGC